GGCATGAATGAAAGCGCCACGGGTGCGATGAGTTATGGCATACGGAGACGACGATGATGACAGATGACATACGCCTAATATATCTCGACTCAATCCTCTTGGCATACCCCGTGAGTGGAATCTATGAGACGGTGTTTAGAGTGGGAAGGACTTTCGCTCCCCTGTTTGAACCTGCGTAACCATATAACCTTTCCCCATACTCTGCGCCTTTCTCGTTTCCGTTTTTCCGCGTGACTAGTTGGTCTGGTGTTGATGGGATCTCGTTTTACATGTGTCTGCGTTGCATTTCAATCTATCGCGTTTGCCATTTTACTGGCGTTTTCTCCCATAATCTGCATGCCAAATTCCAGTTTGATACGTCATTGACATCGGCGTGAGGACTAGTTATCTGTGGTGCTCATCTGATCTTGATTCCGATTTCTTCCATGGGTGGGTGGTGATGGACTAGGGCCGGCACTTTTGGGAGGCCGGCCTGGTCGAGGAGTGCTGGAGGCTACATAGAGCAAAAGATGCCTTTCGACAGACTAGATTACGTATGCACAGGCTCTACCAAAGGCACTGTATGATGTGACTGGAGGAAAGACGTAGACCATTTGGGTAATCTTGTCAGATAGGTGTAGTAGTATCAATAGTAGAGCGACGGTCTGGCCGTGCCCTCACGTGACCCGAGCATTGACTCAAACCGGCGCAGGGCGTGCAGGATTTCATCCGCGGAGGTGACTAGCAGATGAGTCAAAAAAAAAAAGAAGACGATATTGAGAATCCCCAATCGCTGTCCAACATAAAAACCGAGGGTAGTTCCAGTCCAAATTCTGACATCTGTCACTGTGCATAGGGGACTGACGAGCAGTTTACTTTAGTTCCGACTTTAAGGCACACTGCGTTCTCCACTGTTTTGGGGGAGAAAGAGACCTCAGGCCCCGCACCCGGATGCTCTGATTCGTTCCGATCTTTTGCTCTGCGCCAGGAAATTTAATTGCCCGCATTCGCACAACGACCCAACCCCTCCCCCTCTTGCTCTCTCTATCGCCGTTTGAGTCACCGGTGGTCAAGATACTTATCCGTCGGTTCGTGGCGCGATCGGCGCCTTGGAGATTCCCTCCTCCCCTTCCTCTATATCGTCCATTTTCCAGAATGGCCCAGCCCTCTGCTCCCCAAAACCCGAGTACGTTCTTTGTCGCCTTCCTACTCCTCCTCCTCCCCCCTCTTATCGTTCCATCCCACCCCGCAGGGGCTCAATGTGAATGACAGACTGACTGACCACCCTGTTGCTTACTCTAGCTGGTGAGCCCAAGGCTCCCGTCGACGTTCCTCCCCAGGCCGACGACCAGTTGCGGAACCAGGATGCCAATGCTGCCGCTCAGCCCGCCGAGGGCCAGAAGGTGAAGAGCGAGAAGGAATGTATGTAACCAACCTCCGGACCATAGGACCATACTGTCCTGCCACCACCCGACATCCCGATGCAACAACATTCTGACAACTCGCTGGATATCTATAGTGGAGCGTGAACGTCGCAAGGCCGAGAAGGCGAAGAAGTTCGCCGAGAAGCAGGCCAAGGCCGCTGCTGCGAAGACTGCCGCCCCCAAGGCCGAGAAGAAGCCTAAGGTCGAGAAGGAGAAGACCACTGATGCCTACGACCCCAAGGTTATCGAGGCTGGCCGTTACGAATGGTGGGAGGAACGCGGCCTGTTCAAGCCCGAGTTCGGCTCGGACAACAAGGTCAAGCCTGAAGGTTACTTCGTCATTCCTATCCCTCCTCCCAATGTGACCGGTGCTCTGCACATGGGTCACGCCCTTACCAACGCCCTCCAAGACACCATGATCCGCTGGCAGCGCATGAAGGGCAAGACTACCCTGTGGCTGCCCGGTATGGACCACGCCGGTATCTCCACCCAGAGTGTCGTCGAGAAGATGCTCTGGAAGTTGGAGAAGAAGACCCGTCACGACCTGGGTCGTGAGGCCTTCCTCGAGCGCGTGTGGGACTGGAAGAAGGAATACCATGCCAACATCAAGAACGCCCTTCGCAGAGTCGGTGGTTCCTTCGACTGGACCCGCGAGGCTTTCACCATGGACCCCAACCTGTCCGCCGCCGTCACGGAGACTTTCGTTCGCCTCCACGAGGAGGGCATCATCTACCGTGCCAACCGCCTGGTCAACTGGTGTGTGGCTCTGAACACCTCTCTGTCCAACCTTGAAGTTGAGAACAAGGAGGTTGAGGGTCGTACTCTCCTCGACGTGCCGGGCTACGACAAGAAGATCGAGTTCGGTGTCTTGACTCACTTCTGCTACGAGGTCGATGTCGATGGTAAGACCGAGCGTATCGAGATCGCCACCACTCGTCCCGAGACCATGATCGGTGACAGTGGTATTGCTGTCCACCCCGACGACAAGCGCTACGCCCACTTGGTCGGCAAGAACGCTCGCCACCCCTTCGTTGACCGCTTGATGCCCATCGTTGCCGACAAGGATGTCGACCCCGAGTTCGGTACTGGTGCCGTCAAGATCACCCCCGCCCACGATTTCAACGATTTCAACCGTGGAAAGGCCCACAACCTCGAGTTCATCTCTGTGCTGAACGACGATGGTACCTTCAACAGCAAGGGTGGTCCCTTCGCTGGCATGAAGCGCTTCGATGCCCGTTACAAGGTCATTGAGATGCTGAAGGAGAAGGGTCTCTACGTCAAGTGGGAGAACAACCCCATGAAGATCCCCCGCTGCGCCAAGTCCAACGATGTTATCGAACCCATCCTCAAGCCCCAGTGGTGGATGAAGATGGAGAGCCTCGCCAAGCCCGCTCTCGAGGCCGTTGAGAAGGGCGAGATCGTCATCAAGCCTGAGTCCGCTGAGAAGAGCTACTACCGCTGGATGACCAACATCAACGATTGGTGTCTGTCCCGTCAGCTGTGGTGGGGTCACCAGGCTCCCGCCTACTTCGTTCAGATCGAGGGTGAGGAGAACGATGACAGCGATGGCGAGCGCTGGGTCACTGGCCGCACCGAGGAGGCTGCCCGGGAGAAGGCTGAAGCCAAGTTCCCTGGCAAGAAGTTCAGCTTGGTCCGGGATCCTGATGTCCTTGATACCTGGTTCTCTTCTGGACTGTGGCCGTTCTCGACCCTGGGCTGGCCCAACAAGACCCACGACCTGGAGAACCTGTACCCCACTTCCGTCTTGGAGACTGGCTGGGATATTCTGTTCTTCTGGGTTGCCAGAATGATCATGCTTGGTATTAAGATGACCGGCCAGGTTCCCTTCCGGGAGGTGTACTGCCACTCTCTGATCCGTGATTCCGAGGGCCGCAAGATGTCCAAGTCTCTGGGTAACGTCGTTGACCCTCTGGATGTCATGGAGGGTATCCAGCTCCAGGAACTCCACGCCAAGCTGCTCACCGGTAACCTCGCCGAGAAGGAGGTTGCTACTGCTACTAAGTACCAGAAGAAGGCTTTCCCCAAGGGTATTCCCGAGTGTGGTGCTGATGCTCTGCGCTTCGCCTTGGTTTCTTACACTACTGGCGGTACGTTTCACCCACTAATCTCACAGTAAAAGAAACTCTGCTAACATTCATTATGTAGGTGGTGATATTGCGTTCGACGTCCAGGTCATTCACGGTTACCGCCGTTTCTGTAACAAGATCTACCAGGCCACCAAGTTCGTGCTTGGCAAGTTGGGCGACAACTTCAAGCCCAAGGCTACCCCTACCAAGACCGGCAAGGAGTCTCTGTCTGAGCGCTGGATTCTGCACAAGTTCAACCAGGCTGCCAAGGAGATGAACGAGACTCTCGAGCAGCGCGAGTTCTCCCAGTCTGCTCAGATCGTCTACCAGTACTGGTACAGCCAGCTCTGTGACGTCTTCATCGAGAACTCCAAGTTCCTCCTGGCAGAGGACGTCCCCGCTGAGGTGCAGGAGTCTGCCAAGCAGACCCTCTACACTGCACTGGAGGGTGCTCTGACCCTCATTCACCCCATGATGCCCTTCGTCACCGAGGAACTCTGGCAACGTCTCCCCCGCCGTGAGGGCGATGCCACGATCTCGATCATGAAGGCCAAGTACCCCGAGTACACTCCTGAGTTCGATGACGTCGAGGCCGAGACTGCCTACGAGCTGATTCTCAACACCTCCAAGGCTGTCCGGTCCATCATGGCCCAGTATGAGATCAAGACCAAGGCCGATGTCGTCATCCAGACCTACGATGCCACCAGCCACAAGACGATCTCCGACGAGCTCACCAGCATTAAGTCGCTTGGTGGCAAGTTCCTGGGCGATCTCAGCGTGCTTGGCCCTGAGAACACCGTTCCCCCGTCGGGCTGCGTCGTGGCTCCTGTCAGCTCCCAGGCGGCCGTCTACCTCCGTGTGTCCAAGGAGGTGGCCCTTGAGCAGGAGCACAAGGCCAAGGCCAGTCTTGAGAAGGCGCGCGAGACTGTTGGTCGCCAGCAGAAGCTGATCAGCAGTGCTGGTTGGGAGAAGGCCAAGCCCGAGGTTCGCGAGGCCGAGCAGAAGAAGCTCCGCGATGCCGAGAGCGAGGCCGCTCGGTTGGAGGAGCAGATCCGCGAGTTTGAGAAGCTGCGGTTGGAGTAGATGCTCCGAGTAAATGGCTTTGAGTAGATATCAGTGATACACATACAATTGGACTTAGACACCAAAATAACAGTTTTCTTTTCTTTTTGTTCATTTCGATGACTTGTATTGTATGCCTTGTAGTGGCTGCACGTGACCTGATCACACTCCCTTATAGGTAATGAATAGTAATGTTACCTAACTTTCTTTCAGAGCACACATATTTCAGTACTACTAAAGAGAACATCTAAGCAAATAAGCTAGAATTAGAAATATCCTAACTGGCAGGCAGGAGCATTGATGTTGGCGTGGAGACAATAAGCTTATCGATAAGCGATGCCAAGCCCCATCCGCCAAAAGTTTTTGCTCCGCCTTTTTTCATTTTCCGCAGCGAAATCCAGCATTCTCAATCTCCTCCACTGCCCCCAATCTCGTCCCATCCGCCAAGATGCTCCGAGAAGTGTACGTTGATACCATCATCTCCTACTACTACTTTGAATACGGCTAATGGAAACTATCAAAACAGAAAACCCAAGAACGCGCGCACCGCGCGCATCCTCAAAGCCAAAGAGCCGCAACTTATCGAGCCCCCGAAACGGACTCTTCTCCTTCACGGATCGAAATGCCCTCAACCGCTGCACACGGTGCTGAAGACCTTCCACTCGCTGACTCGGCCCAACTCGGTTCTATTCCACAAGAAGAATGCCAACATCCACCCGTTCGAGAGCGTTGAGAGCCTGGAGTTTTTGGCCGACAAGAACGAGTGCGGTATGGTCGTGTTCGGAAGCAGCAACAAGAAGCGCCCCAACTGCCTGACGCTGGCCCGGGTGTTCAATTCCAAGATCCTGGATATGTGTGAGCTGTTGTTGTTGCCGAATCAGGACCAGACGGCTGGATTGGAGAGTCTGCAGATTGGTATTGGCATGCGGCCGATGCTGTTGTTCTCGGGCAGTGCTTGGGATGATGAAACGTCGACGGCGCATGTTATGTTGAAGAGCATGTTTGTGGATATGTTCAAGGGAGAGACGAGTGATAAAATTGATGTTGAGGGTTTGCAGTATGTGTTGATGATTGGCGCGGAGGAGGCCACGGACGGACTGGCGCCTGTTGTGCACCTTCGCTGGTACAAGTTGCGGACGAAGCGCAGTGGGCATAAGTTGCCTCGTGTGGAGTTGGATGAGATTGGTCCTAAGTTTGACTTCAAGGTTGGACGTCTGCAAGAGGCGCCGAGGGAGGTCATGAAGGAGGCCATGAAGCAGGGTAAGAGGCCGAATGAGGAGATCAAGCTCAAGAAGAACATTGGATTGGATTCGATCGGTGATAAGATCGGTCGCGTGCATCTGGGTAAGCAGGATCTTAGCGGTCTGCAGACTCGTAAGATGAAGGGTTTGAAGCGTCGTGCTGGTGTCGAGTCGGATGACGAGGAGGGCGATGCCGATATGATGGATGTGGATGAGATCTCGGAGGATGAGGGACGCAAGCGGACGAAGACGGCTTGATGTGCTTGATCACACTACAGTTTATTCATTTCTTTGATGCGCATACTGTCGTCTACTATTGTCTATCTACTATCTAGTATAGTCTACCTCTCTATCGGCGTTCCGGGGGTTTGGATTTCACTCTTGACTGAGGTCAAAGCAGCTCGCTCGGACCGGTATTGTTGATATGTGATGATGTTTTAGACATGCAAAAAGTTGTTACTGTTCCAAATATATGATCAATAAATCTTCATCTATCACTACTGTCTATTCCGGTGTGTCCACGTGACATGACGTTCGGCTCTCACATGCCGAGGATCTTTGGAGCTCGTCGCGGATCTGCTTCCCTTCCTTAAATGCCGACTTTCCTTTCCTTTCCCCCACCATCATTACTTGCCATGCTCCCCTGCCACTCCCTCCCTTATGAAGCAAGCAAGCAGTGCTCCTGGCGACTGCGGCTGCATACTCTCCCTGCTCTTGGAAGCTCTCCGGACGTGAAATAAACTCACTCATCCTACTTACTACCTCCGTGCTCACTCACCGGATCCGTGCCGAGGTCCGACAACCAAACAAGAAAGATCAAGATGGATGCTCTAATGGTGAGTTATGAAGCCGGTTGTTCATGCCAACATAGCCAGATCTTAAAGCTTAATATCAACTTGAAATAAATATGATATTGACCGCAATACAGTCCCGTCTTGACTCGCTAGTCACAAACCCCGATCTTGCGCCGCTCTTAGCTCTCGTCAAAGGTGTGCGCAATGGCGCCGTCTACGGTGCCAAAGTGCGGTTTCCGCATGCTTTAGTGTATGCATATCATATCATACTACCCTTGTTATTATAGCAGGTTATGGTATAGGTCAGAGCTAATCAGTTATGTGCTTGCTGTGTAGAATGATCTTTCTCTTCCGTTCTGGAACGTGAGTGCCCGCATTCCTCTGTCCCTCTTCCCCCTACCTCTCCATGGGTATTTACTCCCAGTCAGCACGGTCAAGCCCACTCAAGCTAACAACAACGATGTCTATGCATACAGAATTCGAGAAAAGGTCAAGCTCGTTCTTAAAGCTACCCGTCAACACGCTCGCAATCTAGCCACCTTCGCGCTCATCTGGAAGGGCGTAATGCTCGCACTTCGCAACATAAACCCCACAACTGGTGGAAAGGAAGGCAGATACGATAGTTTCATGGCTGGGTTGGTAGGAGGATACGTGGTCTTCGGAAGACACAAGACGAGCATCACGCAACAGGTAGGAATCCCACGACGCCGGGGCGATGATCAGAAGTTAACGGGAGTCTAGATCGTCATCTACGTTTTCGCACGCGTTATGCTCGCAATGGCCAAACTGGCCGTCCGGCCCAACATGCACCCGCTGTCGTCGTCGATTACTCCGGATGCGAGATCCAAGATGGAGAGTAACGCCTGGCCAGTATTCGCCAGTTTGACATGGGCCTTTGTCATGTATATTTTCCGGTGGCACCCCGATACCCTGATGTCGAGTTTGAGGAGCAGTATGGTGTATATGTATGTTCTCTTTATTGTCCTGGTGGCCTGCGAAAGGCCGTCTAAGTGGATATATACTGATCCTTGCAGCTACGCCGACTCCGATCACTGGGATTCGTTCCGCAATTTCTTGATACACAACAAATAGAGGTGGTGGGGAGTGTATCCGTGCTAAGCACTTGGGTTTCCATTTTTGGTTTGTTATACGTTCATTGGGTTGTCACGTTCACGGGGCGTATAGATTGGTGTCAGGGCTGGCATTGTTTTTCTTTCTCGTTCATGTCTATGCTTAGGGGTATTCTTCTTCAGAAATTCGAGCCCTCCCGCTGGCGGATAGGGAGTTGGTAGTGATGGTGGTTGTGTGATGTGGTGTATATGATAAGATAGAGAGACAGAGAGAGATAGGTAACGGTGGCTGTTGAGGTATCAGATTGTCATCCAGGTCATAACCCAAATACGAAGTAAACTCGATCTACAATACAGGTTAGATATGCAATTCGGAGAATAGACAAACTGCACGCACATGCATAATCTTCCGACAGCGCAGCACAACCCGACTGAGTGTACCTTGATACATATTACACTAAACTGCCCCCACCATATCCAAACACGCCCGACTCGGCCACGCATTCTCCGTCCCCAACATCCTGAAATACTCTACTACGCGCCATTGATCTCCTCGGCCTGTGAGGAACTGCGCTCCTGTAGTGCAGTCATACAAGGTTAGCTCCAGTAGGTTCATAGACCTATGTTATATATCCGTTGACTATATCACAGTACTGGTAGTATACTTTGGATCCTAGGGTAGGAAGGAGGTGGGGTATGATGATGCTCACCCATAGCAACACAATGAGAGGCGTTGATCCGGCATCCAAAGTGATCGTTGGAGAAGGAGATTGCGCAGAGGGTGTGGACGTGTGGGAGAATGGTTGTTTTGAGGTGGTGGTGATGTGTTAGGGCGTTGTTCGTGTTGATGTTTGTATCTGGGGTGGTGTGTGGCGGTGGGAAATGCGAGGCGAGGAGGATCTTGGCTGTGTGGTAGAATTGGAGGCCGACGACTGTTTGTATTTTCATTGGTAAATTATTGATCGATACTTAACTACCTGAGCAAACACGTGGAAAGGGAAGTCTCAAGTATATGGGACATTGGGGAAGGACATACCATGCCACGGACAAAGCAACCTAATTACCGGGAACGAGTCTCGTTCCTGTTCCTCGTAGTAATACGGCTCAAACGTATCAGGCACATTAACCCTCCAGCCATCGATAAGTTCATCTAACTGAGCCCTCGGCAACAAACCCGGACACTCATGACCAAAGCAGTGATTGATCGCATGAACTAGCAGCCACGTCATCCTATTCGCCCAGTCAGCGTCTGTCTCGGGGTAGCTTTCGTCCAATGGCCAGCTAGATACAGCGATCTTGGTGCTGCAGCGGCCAAGAATCGCCATGCGGATATCTGCCCGCACGTAGGAATAGAAGGTCGCTTGTAGTAGACCCCCAGTGCGGGTGGATGCTTGCACGGAGGGGTCGAGATGCGCGAATGCTCCAGGGACTAGGTGGCATTGGCGGTCTATGTGGTATTCGTCGTATTGCTCGGACATGCGGAGGATAGTAATGGTGGCGAGCACAGCTTCGTCTTGGACTGCTGAGCCTACGTCGTTGAGGATGGGAATGAGGAGGTTGATGCATGTAGATTGGTATTTGTCTTCTTCGGATGACAGCTCGGTTCGCTCGGGGTTGAGGAGGCGGAGGATGTGCGCGGCACAGGCCATGATGGCTGTGTGGAGGAGGGTGCATTGTAGGGATAGTCTGTGGTTTGGTATTAGGTTTGTTGTCTGCTATAGAAAAGGATGTGAGTGGATACCGAGGAACCGTATATGTATAATGGCGCTCAGGGCTGGTGACATCTAGCTGTTACATTGTCAGGGCATGATCGTATTATTAGATGGTTGTGTGTACCCAGGGTCCGATGTTCTGCACAAAGAAGTGTAATAGTTCGCCCTCTATGGTCGTTAGTCTCCGAGGCGCATGTCTGTAGAAGAGACCAGGCCTGGGGATTGGTGCAGTCAGCGAAACTGTGTACGGGTTTCGTGGGAAGGATGGACTCGATGCTGCTTCTCCTGACTCAGAGGTAGGATAGCGAATAACATTATGCGGTAGGGTTCGATCATTAGCGGGGAGAGCAGACACCACCGGTTCAGTAGGAAATAGAGAAGTTGATGGCACTTGAGTGGTTTCTGTCACCACCGGAGTAGATGCAGGGGGTTGTGTTGAGACTGAGACGTCAATCTTATCATTTTGGGTGAATCCTTCTGCTTGAGCTACGAAAGTCGACAATTTGCTATGTCGAAAGGCGATGGTCGCAGACCGATGTTGAGCGTAGCAACAAGAGCGACTTGACTTGGAGCAGCGACCACAGACAGGCTGAACTCCATCGCCTGTGGGGGATCAGCTCCATAGACCTGGCATAATCTCCGAGCTCACTGGGCCCTTACATCGCACCTTGCGAGATTTGCATGTCAGACTGCGTGTCTGGGTCAGCATACATCCCTGCAGTCAAGAGACAACTCACCAAGTCTTCTTGCGCATTTTCCAGCATTTGGGAGGCGGCAGCAGTGAGGATGGTGGAAAGACATGCTCGGTCTTTTCTTCCTTTGCGGGGAAGTCTAAGACAGCCCTGGTTTGCTGCATTGTTCCCGATCAGGCAACTCGGCGCCGAGGGTGCAAGTATATCAGCTTCATCTAGCATCAAGCTGCGTGACAGAAGATCGAGCCAGGATACTGCTTGCTATCTGGCTTCTGATATCAACGCATCATGTACAAAGAGATTATTGTCGTGGTTAATATCCTTATCGTTCTCAGGGCTGTCCTCGCCCCCATATACACATATCTCCATGACCCCAAAGGTCTGAAGCGCTTCCCTGGAGTGTCAGTCGCTCCTATAACTGATCTCTGGGGAGTATGGAAGCAATACCTTCGTACACGTACCGTGGCCGTCCATAAAGCACACCTCAAATATGGCAGCATCGTCCGAGTCGGGCCAAGCCACGTCTCCTTTTCGACGGCTGAAGCAATTCGCGACATTTATGGTCACGGGACACCAGCACTGAAAGATGACTTTTATCAGACATTCAACTCAACTCACCTCAACGTATCTGACGCTCAGGATAGAGATATCCATAGTATCAAACGAAAGCGATTTACCATCGCCTTCTCCCAGAAACGTATCGTTGAGCTCGAGTCTGTGGTTCAAGACCACCTGCAGCGTGTCTTTCGCATACTGGACTCTTCCAACGGGGAGGAAGTGGACATGAAGCAGATAATGATGCACCTCATGTACAACCTGATCTTTGTCACTTTCTTCCACCATGACTCCCACTTCATAGAGCGAGGCAGCACCAGCGTCACTATCAAAACACCGTCCGGATCCCCATACAAAGGCGAGATTCACCAACTGCTCACTAGCGCCCTGCACATCTCCACCAGCCTCGGATGGGCACCAAAGCTCAGGGCCATGCTCAAGCATCTAACCTGCTGGCATTCAGGCTGGAAGCACGGTACCCAGCTCCAACACATAACCACACACTTTGTGCGCGAACGAGTAAAGATGGACATTGAGCGAGTGGACGCAGGTCTCCCGCCACTAGACGATCTTATGACCACGCTCCTCTGGGACAGTAACCGCGAGCATCCTCTGTGTTTGGAGCTGGGTGAACTAGTGACAGAGGCCCAAAACCTCTTCAGTGCTGCCGGAGGAAATACAGAGATTGCCCTGACCAACATCATCTGGTACATCGCCAGCAATCCACACGTAGTTCGACGTCTTCGTGCAGAACTTGCAGATGCACTTCCACCACACAATGATTCATCAAGCCCCATACCATATGACCTCGTCAAGAACCTTCCCTATCTCCGTGCCTGCATAGACGAAGGCCTACGACTTCGTTCCTCCATCCCCGGCGGTCTTCCTCGCGTTGTCCCGAAGGGAGGTATGATGGTGTCTGGTGAGTGGTTAGACGAAGGCACCACCGTTTCTGTATCCACGTATACCGTCCACCGAGATCCGGATATCTTCGATACCGATTCAGAGCGCTATGTTCCCGAGCGGTGGTTGCAGCCTGGGTCGCGTGATATGCAGCGCGGGTTTCTGGCTTTCTCGCAGGGAGGAAGGGGATGTCTGGGACGGAATATTGCTTATTTTCAGATGCAGTTGATTATTGCGGCCTTGGTCTGGAGGTATGATCTTACCTTAAGGGAGGAAGGGTGGGAGTTGGAGACTATGGAGACGTTTAGTGGGCATACGGGGAGCTTGCCTGTTGTTGTCACGAGACGGGAGTAGATTACGATGTTTGGTAGAGGAAGTGTCAATAATAGTAATTGGGAAGATGTACTATCTGAAAATTGCGTTCTCATGTATGTAATTAATTTGGGGCATGCCAATGTTACTCCGAAGCCTTAATATTTGCATACACATAGCATGGGAAGGATTCAATAATCTCATATAATGTATTAATCAGCATCCCTGGAGATGGTCTGTATATGAAGCGATGGTATAAAAGCTCAAACATGCCTCTTTGTCGTACCCCTCCCAGCTACCAAGCCTCCCTTAGGCTGGCTCAGTAACCCGGTTCTTTATTTACCTAGTGTAGACTGTTGACAGAGTATGTACATGCGTCCAGTTCTGCCTCAGATTCGGCTTTCTCCCAGCTCCTGCTGGCAGAACAGTTACTGCATTCATCCTATAGTTGGTTCGGGAATGCCAGCACACGGGGTCTCCAAAGTACTCATTGGCAGCAGACTCGTAACGGTCCCGTTGGCAGCGAACATCATCGCATACCCATCAGGATGATACGCAGGCCATCCCATTGCTGGGAGCGCATTGACCGGATCCCGCATGAACGCAAGATAGAGATCCTGCCAGTGGGATGCTACGGTGGTCTCGAAAGGCGTAGCGGGTCCGCCATACTCCGAGTATGTGCCAAATAGCAAGGGGAGTTCGGAGCTGTGGTAAGCTCCTTCCCAAGGTCGAGGGGAAATGTTACTGAAGTTAGCCGTATTGAAGTAGCGGAAGGAGAGGGATGAGGTGTTGTAGCGAAGACTATATTATCAATAAACGATCAGTATTGAGCTGAAAACATGGGGTGGATAAAGACGCACTGCCCATTGTAGTTTGCCGGACAGAGGTGGGTGGACACGGTCTCTTCGTGAACGTAGGTCATGTTTGGACCTTGAGGTCCAGCCCAAGCAACCAAAGAGGCTTCTTCATTGGCGTTGGTGCCGAAAATAGCGGGCTTGATGGCAAGACAATCAGCATAGAACGAGTATCAGGAACGGTAGCTGCTCACAAGCTTTGAGTAATTTCCTGCATAAGCCCTGGCAGTGTAGTCCTCAAATTTGGTCACATTGTCCACAATAGTTGTGAACTTCAGAGTAGGACCGGTCGAGTACAGGGTGTAGTTTTCGTAAAACTGAATGATGGAGTCTGCGCTAACGTTCCTCATGCAAGCCAATTCTGCTCGAGGGGAGAGTTCGCCGCAGCCCATGTGCTCAGCCACAAAGGTGAAGTTCGTATGCTCAACGTCTGCACTGGAACCTGTAGCAAAGACACTGCCTGAATGCATGATCAGGCCAGACACAATGGGATCATCGGGCCAGGCGTAGTTGTAATAGTCCGTGCTGGCTGCTCCAGAGCTCTGGCCCCAGAGAGTAATCTTGGACGGGTCTCCTCCAAAAGCAGCAATATTATCTCGAACCCATTCAACCGCAAATCTTTGGTCAAGAAGTCCAAAGTTAAGGTTCTGCTGGGTCTCAGCAAGGCCTGCAGCGTTGGGAAAGCCAAAGATGTTGACCCGATAGCTAGAGTTGCAAGTGATCAGTTGCAATGCCGAGAAGGAGAGACATTCGTTGCCAAGTTCAAGACGGGTCCAAGCAATGGACAAGAAAAAGAGGACTCACTTGATGGCAACGACAATATGAGACTGTGTCCTTTGGATCCAATTACTCGGATCAAAACCGTTCGTCAAGAGCCCTCCCTCGTAGAACCCGCCGCCGAACATCCAGATCAACACTGGCAATGGCTCATCCGTCTCATTGACGGCATGCAATGGGCTCCAAACATTGAGAGTCAGGCAATCCTCTGATGTCGGTCCATATGGTTGTAGCCAAGGAGAGTCAAACGTGTACACAGACGGGTCTGTCTTCGTGGTCAACGGATATTGCGGGCAAGAAGGCCCGATCTTCGTGGCATCAATGATAGCCTCTGCAGGCTTCGTCTGAGGAGGCGCGAATCGTAGTTCGTTCACAGGAGGTGCTGCAAACGGAACTCCAAGGAACTGCGCAACATCCGGAGCTGAACCATTGACCATGCCATACAGTCGCCCAACGGTTGTATCGACAGTTAGGCGAGATGCTGCTGCAGTCACTGCAGAAAGCTGAGCTGCAGCAACGAAGAAGCTGAAGGCTTTTACCCCCATCTTTAAGCTGCAGTTTCCACTGGCAGGTTCAATCGGGACGATAGCAGAGAAGCAATGACCTCAACGCCATGTTGAAAGTGACATACAGCCATACTAATACTTCTAAATTCTTGATAGCATGATGTCTGATAGCTTACTCTTTTCCGAGGACGGCAAGCTAGTAGATTCTGCATTGGCCGCCAATGCGTCATTTGTGCCGTCAACTCCACATTTGCAGAGGGACCAGACGCGGAGAATCCCCGAAAACTGGGGAAGGGACTTCCAGGGTCTCCCGCATTGGTCCGGAGTGTGGATTCGTACACCTCGAAGGAACAGTTCGGTAGGATAACTCCGACAGACGAGCAGGCGGAGTTCAAGCCTATTTCGACTTAGCAGACACCTCGTGTCGCTTACACGCCTATCCGTATAGCCGATGCACCAATACTCCGGTCGTTTGAGAAGCCATTTGGAGCCGGAAATGGATCTAGGGAAAAGAATTAAGCCGGTGTGAGGATTTCATCAAATTAGAATGCAAGCATGGTGCTCGTCAGTTGGACGTTGATTGTTGCAGTAACGCAATCAGTTTTCCTGGCGGATTCCGTCTGCTTCGTTAGGGACACGAGACATATGAACATAAATATTGTTTTTGCTTACTAATGAATTGTGCATACCTATTATTAAATCGCTCTTTCATCTTCGTTTCCTCACACTATCCATCTATCAATCTATCACCCCTACGCAGTTCCCTTACTGCGAGTCAGTATCATAATTCAGCTTAAAAACACAGCCCGAAGGTATTTTTAATGATGACATTGATGAGACTCATGATGCCGAGTTTGCTATTGTTCATTGATCCCATTTGGTCTTCTCTTTACTTCGTCTACTTTTCTATAAGTAGCCTCTTTACAGCAATGCTCCCTCGTCATAGACACAATGCCGAAACTGAGTGCCCTAGCCGCCTGGAAGCAGAGCCAGATGCAGTAAGTTCAATTCTATCATGTGTAATTCACTGCTTCCTTACCACTTCTACCTAGAAGACAGCCAGGCAATCAACAGTAGAAAGGAGTAACCTGCCCAAGCCTTATCCCCAAGAGATAACCTACATATGTGTTTCTGGTTTGACAGAAGGAGGAGATTCCTTGAGTCTCAGCAAGATACCGGAAGCACGTCCAGGAGAAGTGATATATGTTACCAAAGGCAAAACCTTGGCTTGGGGAGGAACCGCTATTCTTGAGCGAC